TTCAATGTCATGTATAAAATGAAGAATTTTCATGGTTGCTGTCAGTTTAGAATAATTGGAAAATGTCGTAGACTATTCATTATTGAAATCATCACATTTACAATGTGAGGCAGTTCTTTTTCTCATGATAAAATGAAGGTCTCATGTCAGTGAGTCCCATAATTTATCCAAATTATGCAAATTAACTCAATCACATCTTTCAGTTGGAAGAGTCAATAAAAATGTGAATGATATGAACTTGGGTTGAACTTTTTGTTTATAAAACATTATAAATGAAAATATTTTGTATCTTAAAGTTGGTCTACCTGATTCTTTCTTATACAATAATAGAATTTATGAAGCTATTCACACTGGGGATTACTATGTTTTTAAAATGGAAAGCTTAGATGGTCTTTTTAAAGAAAAAACAAAAAATCTATAATAAAACCCACACAATTATCTACATAAACAGAATAAACCATGCACTTTCCATAGAGAATGATTCTGTGGCCAGTTTGCACATAGCCTTAGGGATACAGTAGTTTTCCTCTTTTTTTGGTTCACAAATTTTATTCTATAGCAAAATCATGGTAAACATAATTTCATGTATTGATGTTCAGATGGGGAGATATTTTTTGAAAGACCAAACAAAGACAAAAATCCAATGCACTAACTTTCCAACACTGAGACTTATTTTTCGTAACAATTTTGACTCATGTCTGTAACATGCATTGTTTTCCAAAAAATTATTTTTGAGGAAACAAAAAGATGAAATTGAATAATTGAAATCCACCACTCTATACAGTAAATAGGGATTCTGTGCATAGCAGATGCAATTCACAACAAAATTTCCAAAGAAAGTGGTCTATTTTTACCTTTTATGACAAGGTCAGGCATATTTGCTCTTTGGAGAGGGTACTCATGATCCAGGTGAGATTAGAAGTGATTGTCAGTTTGAGATGAAACTGTTTCTGCATAAATATCTGCATCTCTAGATCTATCAGTAGCAAGAGTCACTTCAGTGTCAGTATAGATAAAAATAGGATTATTCTAATCAATTTCTCCTTGTAGGAGTATATTTAAATTATTTCAGGCACGAAGATGCCTATCTTTTCTTTTAAATATCTTCTACTTTTTTTCAATCATCATTTCTAGTATTCAAAATGTTGGCATTCAATAAATCCTTAAATCCCATCTCAAACTTTAGTGATTTATTTTTTTTAAGTTTCTACAGCATGATATTGTCATCTCAGCAAGTTCAACCCTGGTTACCTATCTTCATGATGAAAAGGGCAAAAATAAAAACAGTTTTTACTTTCATGAGAAAACACTTGACCTGAATATTAGTTAAATGTCACTGTTCAAATATACATATCTTGGTAAACTGTTAATGGTAGAAGACAAGTATTACCAATGCATCTTTTAAGTTACCATTCACTCTAAATAATATAAGATTGAGTAAATATATGAAAAGTCTTTTAATGAAGCAGAAGATTCTTACTTTGAAGAGTATCACTGAATAAAGTATTAGAAACAGCATTTGGTTTAATTAGTGCTGTTTCACATGTAAAATACAAACTCACTATTTTCTTTTACATAATGGACCATAGTAGGTTCAGATGAATCATATCCTGAGCCATATCGCTGAGTAACTGTTAAAATACTGTGTCATGGGGTTTGTTTTGAATGGTATTAGAGGATTCACTTTTCACTAAAAGTTAAAATAAAAAGTTTTGGTTTTACATTCAAATGTTTATTTCCATATGCTTTAACGTATCTGTTTATCATTTACTTGTGTAGATTGTTACTCTAAATTATTTTATAGTCCATGCTTTTGTATCATTCCTTATTGGCAGCAATAAATCTTTAGCTTAAAAAATATAAAAGTTTAGGTCAACTAAAGTACCTTGGAACAACCAGAATTGCTTCAAGAACACGTTGTGAAGAAAACAGATCTCCGCATTTTCACTCAGATTCAGTTGAGGTTGAATGGCTTTCTTAAATCCTTATCAAGTGGTCAAATCACAACTAAGGTAGCTAAAAAATTTCAGATGGGGCTCCATTCTATAAAAATATTCATTCTGAGATAATACCAAGTACTCTTTTTAAAGAAGTAAAGAAATGATCATGTGTTCAATATTAAGATTTTGTGTCCCTTTATTTGTAAAAGTCTTTGGCTCTTCGGTAACTCACTCTGAAATAACTTGTGTTTCGTTTTACAGGCAGTAAAAGTTGATAAAGGAGTGGAAACTTGGCTTTTTCATTTTTGAAACAGTTAATCATCAAATGAAAGCCTTACAACATTGATAGTTCTTTACCAAGTGTACAAAATTTTTAAATAATCAACATTACAGGAGAATAAACACAGGTGAAAATGTCAATTAAATATCACAACCAAGTAAGTTCAAATATATTTGCTTTTTTCTAAAACCTGAGTCAGTATTGATCGGTTTGTGATCTCCCTGCAGTAACTAGAACAGGCACACACTCCCCAAAGCTGCATAAGAAAGTGGGTGCTTGGCTTCTCCTTCCTGTGTCTTGTTCCCCGGCAATGTCCTCATGAAATTTTTACTTAACAGTGAATATATGAATATCATGAGTTTTACATGTTGATAAAGTAGCAGAAGCAGGGCTGGCCTGATGCCCCCAAAATAAACAATTTTAAATTGTCAAGAAAAATAATTTTAAGAAACCAGTGTAAAAAATGAAGTATCAGTTGTTCAGACTTTTGTGAGATTAGTACTCCACAAACACTAATGCTTCTTTCATATTCAATTTCCTCATTCTCCTGATTACTTAGTGAATCAGGTAGAATACATACACACATACATTCATTCGTACATTCATACATAACCTGAAAAGAACATCGATGTTGTGATGTTAATGGATCAACATTGGCTCCTTGTTCCTAGACCTACGTTTCGCAAGTCCCTGAATAAATCCCTGAAATTAGGTATTCATTGTATATCTAAGCTGCAACTTCATACTGTGTCAGAGCTGTCATTAAAATGTGCTGTCCCCCACAAATTAGTGGAGGAAATCTGTAATATCAAAACTTATTTTAAATATGGAAATTAAAACATTCCATCTTCAATCACTGGTAGAGAGAGGGTGAGTTATGTTTGCATGAAAGTGTGGCTGTGCAGATCAAGGATGTGTTGTATTGAAAAGTGGCAGAATTGCATTTTTATAATGTGAACCAGCATTTTCAATGATCATGCTTTATCAATGAGTGTGAGCCTTTCATGGACTGCATGAAAAGATGACTTGTGGTGAGGTGACGTTTCTCTCCTCAGTCTCTCTCGCAGGATTAACAAATACTCTGGCATGCTAAATTTATTATAATGCCCAGGAAACATTTTTTAAAAAAACCTTAAAAACTTATTTTAATCTACAATCCCCATATTAAAGTCTCCTGGTTGGCTGTTTGCATTTTTTTCATCACAAACATTGGCTTTTTCTCTGTACTATACAAAGAAAAACATGAGCTTTAGGTATAAATATAAAGTCCTGCAAATATGTTTACAGATGAAAATAGTCATTACACACACTCAGGAAATACGCACATATTTACTAATTAATTGTAAGCTGCAGCTGTATCTACTGTCGAAACAACTGCCTGCAAAAATGTCATTTTATTAAAAGTATAACTTTGTCCTCCCATTTGATAATTGTTATTTTCTAGTAAAAAAAGATAATATTCCAAAATGGAAGCATTATATTCAGTGATTCTGTCTACAGCAATGGTTCTTTTAGGCTAGATAAGGTACCCAGATATTTTTGAACCTGGCTACCTTTTATTATTTTTAATTAGAAAGTTTAGCTAGTTTTTATTAGGGTGGTAACAGGCATTTGAACAATTTTAAGGAACTGTGTTTCCCTTTATAATGTTAAAGATGTAAATTACATATTAATGAGCTGTAACACCATCATTATGAGAGATGCCAATAAACAAAATTTCAAGGCTTTGAAAACTTTTTATATTTTAATATTTAGAAATATGGGATTTTACTAACATAAAATTTTGATATTTGCTGATAACAATTTCTCATAGTGATGGTGTTTTCATATTCTAAGTACAGATTTTCTTGCCTTTTTATTTTGTTCTTTTAACCTCTTATGTTGGGATAAACTTGAAATATGCACTATGCACAGTACAAATCTCAAAAGTAAGGTTGGGGTTATTCAACATGGATACTTTCTAATAGGGCCCAGAAACAATGCAATAGAAAGTCAACTCGATTCAAAAGAAAGGTCTGTCTCATAAAAACTTTTGCATAGTTTTTCCCATCAGCAGCCTGTCCCTTGATCCTCATGTAAGGCAAATGCCTCTCATGAAAGGACTGTGGGTCTGGTCCTTCAGAATTATTGGTTAATTAATGTTGAGATTATGTTATTTATGGTATGTTTCTATATTTTGCTGAAAAATAAGTCATCCATACTCGAAAAAAATACCCAGTGTTAACAACTAGGTTGTGACTGGGTTGGACAGTCGTCAGCATGCACAACCTGAACTACGATGAGCTCAGACGTTCGCTGTGCCTCGGGTGTCTGCTAGTGAAGTCTGTTGGAAACACGGGACCATGTGACAGCTTCGTGTCACAAAATACACGTCACATACTTGAAAACCTTACAAACACAAAAAGTGAACGACTTCTAATTCTATTCATCTAGGAATACTAATGCTACATTTGAGATTGAGATTACTAGAATTTTAAAAACATCAGTTAAACAGTGCAACAGATGCGTGAACTAATGTTAACATTAAGACAGTATAAAATGGTAGCCCAAATGGCTCAACTTCCATTTTCCAGCTATTAACATTACTTCTTAAATTTATATTCAAAATGGTTCTTTGAATTATAGCTTTATCTGTATGTTTTAAGCAACAGGCTCAAGAGACAAAGTTTTGAGTTTAGCAGAGCCAAACCTCATCAGGAAAACAGTTTGCTGAGAATGAAAGAACATATTATCAGAAAAGTAACATTAATTTCATTGCAAAAAGATTTAATGCTGTGCAAATTAAATTCAACATTTCCTTAAGGTTTACGTAGAAACATGTGCATAACGAGAAATGAACATAGTTGTAACAAAACCAAAACCACACATATGTGACATATGCTAGTTTATACAATGGCAGCATAAACTATACTAAATTTTAGATAGGTATGGATTCTTTTAAAAAAGGTATTTCTTTGCTTATGCAAAGAATTACAACTTAATAAAACATTCTGTGCTAATAGGTATATGACGAGAAGAATAAAACGCCTCATGGAAGTAAAGGACCATGTTTTGTTTTGAAGGAAAATGTATCAAGATGTCCAAAAAAGGAAATGCAAAATTGCACATCAAGTTTGCTCATTACCAGGACATATTTTAAATCCGGAAGTCAAGCCTTCTACTTTTTTTTTTTGATCTGATGAGCACATGGTCCCGAGTCCTTACTACAGCAGTCTTATTCTGGAGGCATTATGGTGTGGGAGGTGGTTTGGGAGAGGAACAGGATCCTTGACTATCAAAACTGGTTGCCCGGCCAGGTAACTGAAAGACAACAATTTTATAATTTACAGTCTAGTATAAAAAATAGAAAAGTGGGTAATTACTGCTACCTTTTAAAAGTGAATGATCACTCATGATATGCAAGTCTGAAAGAAAATATACCTAACTCCCCCTGCCCTTTGGAACTCACCTTCTCAGGTAGTGTAAAAGGACATATGTATCCTACAGAGATGTGGGCAGTGTGTGGTACATGGATGGTATGCAGGGCAGCAGTGTATAGACAACTATTCATCACTGCAGGTCCATTTCACAATCTGTGACAGGGTCTTAGTTCTTATTGTAAAATAGTTATTGGTTTACCATAGTGGGGGGCGAATGCTAGGTAAATGCAGTAAGAGGTTCTAGACATAAGAGACTGTGTTTTACTTGCTCTAAAGCAGGAAGTACTTTTAGAGGAGCAATTAATGAGATGACAGGGACCAAGTTTGGCAATGGGAGCCACATGAGATGAAGAATAATTTCTCACGTTCCTAAATATTATGTGTATTTAAAAAGTTTAGTTACAACAGAATAAACTCTTAATTATCTAGGTAGAGTTTCTAAATGACGCTTTAGTTTCTCAGTCCCGCCAACGTACCCCGTTCTCAAATTGTTCCCTTCTCATTTTAAACCTTTCTCTGCCAACAGAACACATAACTACACACTTATCACTTCCCCACAGTGCAAAATCCAGCCAGTTGTTAGTCTCTGTTTGACCCCTGAATGTAGTGTAGGAGTTGGAAAAAAGGAGCTGTTTGCTGGAGAAAGTACATTTATATAATCTTTTAATGGACTTGTCTTCTGATACTCTTCTGCTAGAAAAATATCTGGGATCTTCTGATGTCCATGCTGTAGCTTATTTTCCTGTATGTCCTACAGCAGCTAACACAAACACATGGAGTCCATGAAGTTCATGGCTTCCCTTCATCAGATAAATGTGTCACTACTTCTTAAACAGAATCATATGTAATTATAATATATCTTGGGTTGTACAACATATGCCCTTTCATTCATTACAAGTTCTTCCTCCCATGATCTCATTTCTCCCTACAAAGTTCCTATAAAATCTGAGATGAGTGCATTTCCATTTGCATTAAATACAGAGAAATGCAGCTGTTGCCAGAGTAAGTGGTCTGCTCAGGATTATCCAGAGGGGCAAGGATTAGAACACATAGCTCCACTGCCCAGCAAATTTTACTCTAGTGTCTAGAGTCTTAAAATTAATATTCACTCTTCATACCTTAAATAAAAACAAATATGACAGTCAGGAAAAGGATCATAAATGTATAATAGGCAGTATAGTATACTTATACTTAAGACAATACACACTGTTGACTTGCGCTATTTAGAAAATATAGTCATCTATATTTCTGAACCACTCTAGGGGAAAGTGCTGTGTAAATGTGCTTTGTGTGTGTGTTTGTCTTGTCAGTGATAAAGTGAGGTAAACATTGGAAACACACACATGTATATATGTTACCTATGATAACAGATATCTACAATGAGAGTTCATCTGTGGTGTCTGAGTGTGCAATGTTCTACCACATTCATCCAGTTTTCTCTGTAAAGTCCCGAGTAACACAGCCATTTCTGTTACTCCTGAGATCACAACCTGGGCCCACTGACTTCCAGTAGTTATGTAGTGGGCCTGGAGCTAGAACAAGTCCCATTCAACCTGGTGCTTAATGCCAGCACAGGAAGCAGAACCTTATCCATGGAGAGATGGTAATATATTATCACTTACTATATAATACGGTTATCTTAGCCATTCTTTTTATTGAATTACAGAAATCCCAATTCCATCACCTACCACAAATCCTTTTGTCAGTATGCATTACCTCTCAATTAATCAGGTCACATAAATGACTTACCTTGTGACCCTTCAAGAGTCTCCAGCAACCATCATTCCATTTAGCAACATTCAGTGTTTCGATTACACTGACAATTTTGAGTAGGCTCATAGAAGCTGGTATTGATATTTCTTCTGGTTAATATAACTTCACGTTATAATCAGAGCTAACATTGTGTCACAGTGCTAAGAACTCAATATTCAGCATTTAATTTCATTTTATTCTATGAGTTTACTACTATTACAGAATAATAGCAGAACTTAGGTTAAAGTAACTTGCCCCAAGGTTCTCCAAAATGTAGTCTCACAGAACAGCCAGGCTTTGATCTCAGGCAAACTGATGCCTCAATAGTTAAAAAATCTGTGAGCACTCTTACTTCCTGGCCAGAGTTGGGGTAGATATCCCTGTCCTCCTACACAGATGAGTTGTACTAGCGGATACTACTTCTACTTAGGAATTCTGGGAAAGTTTAGGCGAGGTGGCTGTTTTCACAAAAGAGAGGCACCAACATTCAGCTTCCAGTTAGTAATGAATGTACTTGTTTTTTCCACTGATGTCAGCTTTTAGGCTATGCAAAGAAAATAATAGACTGACAGTTTCTATGGGCCTACTGTCCAAAATAACATCAAACCCAGAGAGTTTAGTGATTTTTGAACTCTAACAAGGCACACAGAACTTTGAGTCCTGGATGATTGAGTGTGTGGGGAAAAAGCAAGAGCAACATCTGTTCTTTAATAAAAGAACAGGTGACTATCTAAAACATCAGAGAATCACTAGTAGACAAATAATAGTTAAGCAGAAGAGATGCAAAAGAGAGTGGGTGCCAGGAAGTCACAGGCTCACCTCCTGCAAGGGGTGCCAGTGTGTTATTGGTTTCCGGTGATAGGCCAGCATTTCATTCCAGTGGTCTCTCCCAAGACCCTCAGCGTCCAGTCCTGTTCTGCACACTCCGATGACCTCATTGTGTCCGACCCTGCAATTCAGAGACTGTCACACTTCCACCCCAGCATTCAAAGATGAACAGAGTTTCACACATCTTAGCAGACTTTTAAACATATGATTAAAACACTAGATTTTGCTGCAGGTTCTAAATGATTTGCAGACCAAACAACTTCAGATCAAATAAAAAATCTTAAGTGAACTAAAATTCCTAAACTAGATCAGCATTCAAAAGTGAGTTTTCAAAAGTGTGGACACAAACCATTTCAGTGCCTCGTAACTTGAGCACATTTCACAATAGCAATGGTGTGAATGAGAAATGCCAGCTGGTCCTTACTTGTGTGAGGAGTTTCTTTCTTAGAAGCAATCCTATTAATGTTTAAGTGATGTAAATCAAATCTCATTCTTTCCACAAGGCTTAATGTTTTATAATGATGCTTATATTTCTCACTAAGAGCTTAATACCCACTTTCTTGTATAAATGGCCATATTTAATTAACTCTGAATGATATGTCAGTGAAGGTTATGCTTGTACTATAATTAAACAGGGCAGGGCTATGATGAGTACCACAGATGATTTATTATTGTATATAGCACCAGAGCATACTGAACAGTATGCCTATTTTGCATTCATGTCTTGTGTTTACAGCAAGAAATCAAAATAATAATGGCAGTCAATACATTTGGAGATTGTTATGTGCCAGACACTGTTCTAAGTAATTTAAGTGTACTGGCTCACTTAATCTTCACACCATGGTAATGAGTATCACTATCACCATTTCATTCTACAGAGACAGAAATGAAACACCCAAAAGCCCAGGGACCTGCCTGCCTGCCTTCATGCACTCAGTAAGAGGCAGAGGCAGGATTTGAACTAAGACAGTTGACTCAAGTGCATTGGTGGTTAAGTTCCCCTCAAGTATGGAGTGTAATTTAAAGGTATTTCTAAGGGTTATTTTGACAGACATCTCTAAGGAGACTTGGAGATGATTTTAGGATATTTCATTACTTTCTTCCTGTCATTGATATAGATTTGTATGTTTACTATCATTTTCCTCAATGTTATTTCCCAAATAAGCAGATTTTTAAAAATAAGGTTTTTAATTTTTCTGTTTTGTATATTGTCAGGATCCACTTCTCTGAAGCTGCCCGGGTGCCGAATGCTCAGTTGAACTTACCTGTGGGCACTGCTGAGAGAAATCAATAGGAGATATTTTTTGGTAAAACTGAACAAGGGTTCCTACTGAAAACAGTACACCATTTTTAGAGTTGAAATTTCAATTAATTCAAGATCTCTTCCTCTGTCTCCAGTGATAGCTTTTTAAAAAAATTGTGATATAATTTAATTTGAAATAGATGATGCATAACATTTCATTTTTCACTGCTTCATTTTGCTAGCTATGAGCCACAGTATAGCATATTAATTTCTCTAGGTTATAAAGTCTTGGGTACTACCATTTTCATGATAATATAAAATGGACATTGTTTTAAAATATTTGTATATGTGCGTTCTTGTGTTAGCATTAGAACAAAATAAATGCAGTGAGACACGGTCTCGGCGCTGATAATTTTGTAGGTTAAATACACATTATTCCTTTCCAAAGGGTTTATAAATATAAAAAGTGAAACGCTAAAAAGAAGTACAGATCAAGGGCCAAAGAAGAGATTTGAACTTTTAAGGTGGGATAGGAGCTCAGGGGAGGAAGAAGAGGGTGACCCGAGACAGACAGAGGCAGTGGCTTGAGCACAGCTGTAAGGCGCATGTGGGGTGGCATTTCAGGCAAGGGAAGGGTGGGAAGGCGAAGGTAGGAGCTGCAGCAGGAAGAACCTTCAGAGCTGTACCTGGGAGTGTGCAATTTAGTTCATGAAAGGAAAAGTGAGTCCAAGTGTGGGAGCTGGAAGAGCGACCCACGAAGCAATGTGCTAAGGCTGCAGTGAAAGCATCAAGGCTGTATTCCCAGGGCCACTGCTCACCTTCTCCCCTCAGTACTCACTGCTCACAGTTCCATATTATGCTAATGTTTCACAAACGGGGAAAGTGAATCCCCAAGAGATTACAAACTTTGCATTTCACACAGCTAGTTAATGATAGAGCTCTGAAAAGAATCATAATATTCACATTCCAGCCTAGTTAGAAAAACAAACTCCGTTGATTTTAGTTTCTGTGGTTACTGCGAATAAGGCTTCACAACAGTGCTTTCTACACTGTGTCCCGTAGAGCTTCCGTACTCACTCTGTCACCAGCCCAGGTGTCCCATCCTCCAACCTCAGAGTGACTTCACTTGGAGAAGAAAAAATATTATAACATGGAAAAATGAGTTTAAATAAATATTTTTTTAAATGAATAATTTTCCCCTCCTCCAATTTACATGAAAACTGCTGTAGCGGAATTTGGTTCTCACTTGACTCGACATGGCTGTTCTCGAGAGAGGAGACAGACACACGTACCTATCGTAATCCATGACTGCGATGGAGAGGCTGACCTGCTCCACATTCTCCGGGGGTATGTCGAAAATAATGGCCTCGTTGTACACAGGGTTCAGAGTGTTTTTCTTTGTAGTTGTTTTCCTCTTTTTTAGTCTTCGACCCTCACACATCAGAGATACTTTGACATAAGGATCTAGGAGTGGGAAGGTAATTTTGTTAAAGTAGAAGTATCGGTACAAAGCATAAGTAAAACTATAGTTCATTGTTACTAAGTGAGAAAAGTGGTATATTAAGCTTTATAATAGTACCAGTTTTAAATTCAAATGACTTATTTGGGGGCAATAGACTCTCTAATACTTACTAGTTTAAATGAAAACATTTATTTTGAATGAACTAGAAAATAATTAACTTGATCTCACTATTTTTAATATAACTGAGAAAACTCATGAATTTATCAAGAGCCAGTCCAGAGGTATACTTTTTTCAGTCTCAATTATTTAAAGACATATTTTTGTTAGAAGTGAATTCTAGGGAATTTAATCTTAACAAGTAAGAATAATTTGAAACTTAACCTTTCAAAATAGTTTAGAATCAGAATACTAAAACTTGTGAAAGAGCAATATTATATATATCCAGATGAGCATATGTAATCACAATGAATAGAAATTAGAAAGCAGCTAATATAGCCCAACTATATTAGTTCAAATTTTCTTCAATCATTGCAAAAGGTACTAAAGTTAGAGGTCCCGTTTTACAGCCATAGCATTTGTGCCTTATAAGAAGCTCTGATTGAAGGAATGATCACTAAAAGTAATTAATACTCAACAACATGCAAAAAAGATCACTATGTGCCTTCAACAGGGCCACAGGGAAGGTTTCTGTTATGACATTGTATGATGTCAACTGGAAAGAGTAAAAATTAGCTGGCCTATATTTTCATGGGCCCAGGAATCAAATAATTTGTTAACATTTCTGCCCAGCTGACTCTCTACTTTCTTACCTCTGCCACCTTGAGTAGGAGAACTGTTAGAGTGCTATAGGAAATACAGTAATATGGTATTCTAAAATTTTCTGTAAAAGCCTTACTTTTTTATAAAAAGGAGGCATGGCTTTGGGAGGGAATGTTGTCACTGGGGTGAGCATGGTAGATGGTTTGAACAACCAGTTTCTAAGCTCTATTTTTATTTTTTGTTTCCTGGTCATACTCCAACTTTTTTCCTTATCAATATAGTAATAAATCTTATTTTCTTAGAACAGGCCAAAAATGATGGAAATATTAATTTAGTTGAGCAAATGAATGTTTTCTGAGCTCTAGAAAAATCCATCTGTGTATTTTATAAGCATCTTCTCCAAGGGGCAGATCCACATTTTATGGCTAGAAACAGGGTATTTAGAAGAAAAGGTGAAAGGGAATGTTAAATGGCTGTTTTCCATTTATTTTTGTTTTTCAATAATAGGAAGTGCATTCTAAAGAAGAAGCTCATTTTTGGGATCTACATTTGTGTAGGAGCCCCGAGGCCTAGGCCTCTCATTAACAACACGAACAAGCCTGCTTTATCCTTCCATGCCCCCATCATGTCTCTGACTACGTTCCGCTACTCATGACAAGGGTAATTTACCGGCTCCTTGGTTGATTCACAAGCCTTTTGTGAGAATTAATGAGGTGGTATTCTCAAAGCATGTACTCCTCCCATAAAAAGCTTCATGTAAATACAAAGTGATCTTGTACTTAATTACAACTTTGATGCTGTTGTTGTTTTTTTTTTTTTTGGTCTCAAAATTTGGTCTCTTTTGATACATTGTAGAAAGATTAGAAAAACAATAATTTGCAGAGTACATTGTTTGTCTTAAATTCTTCAACCTTTATTGACCCAAGAATTTTTGTTGCGTTATTTCAAGATAAATGTGAAATTTACTTTCTTTCTATCTTTATTTATCAACTATGTATTAGAAATTAAACAAATAAATAGGTAAATCCGGACATAGTTCAAGAATCAAGAGCCTAGAGAAAGATGTACAGTGAGGAGTCTCTCTCCCATCTATCTCCATACTTTCCCTTAGTTTTTGTGGATCATTCCAGTACTTATTTATGCAAATGTTAGCAACATGAATATGTATCCTGAAAATTTCCATTCTTATACAGAAGGGAGCATGATATCTATATTTATATTTGCACCTCATTTTAACAATAATTTAGTAAATACTGCACCTCTTTTTGAAACAGGGTGCAAAGTGGGGAGTCCCTGAAAATACCAAAGCATATTCCTCACAGCCCATGGTTGGGAGGTGGAGGAAGGGGATGATGCATGGTTAGGATACTTTTCATAACAATGGCAAGTTGATAGCTAGTTGATATAGCGAGGCTGGGGGTGGGGGAGGAAGAGAGGGAGTACTTATATAGTGCTTGCACAGAGGCCGAAGGCGAAGGCTCCTGTGTCATGGGGCACTCTTGCCCTTACTAAACATGGCAGCTAAAAGAAGGTAAAAGATATGATGGAACCGGTAAAAGTAGCATATTGTAGGAGGGGCCAAATATGAGGACATGTAGGAAGTTCTGGGTCAGCCTTTAAAATAAGGGCAGGCTGAAAGACAAGGGGCTGGTCTGCCATGAGAGCTGAGAGAGTAGGTAGCAGCCATGCAGTTTGAAAGGGTGTAGACGGGCCCCCCTGCCTACCACAAGGTCTGGTGTGTAAAAAGGTGCCCTGCAGTTTGGAGTAGGAGGTGCCAGCTGGTTTGGGATTAATAGCTGGAGTAAGAAAGAGGAGACCTGCTGGAAAGCCTGCCTGGAGAACATGGCGGCAGAGCAGATGGAGTTGGGAATTGTGGAGACCTGCCTCAGCAAGCACGGATTAGTGGGAGATACCTGGAATGCTGAACCTCGGACTTCTCCTTTTGTGGAAGACTGTACCTCTGACTGGTATATTCTGAACCTGGCCTGGTTGGCAAAGTGGAGCAGGACTATGTATTTTTGGGTGTTTTAAAGGGAGAGAGACTTAACAGCAGAAATCCACCATTGTTTGGAATTGGTATAACCTTGAAATAAACAACCCCTTTCTTTTTTCACCAAACTCTTACATTGGGAGTCATGCTTCCTGGCAGTGGGCAATTGAACCCCATAGCTGTTCCAGAACAGCATAGGCAGGGTTCTGTAACATTTCCACACTAACATTTAGAGTTCATCATGCTCTTTATAATGCAAATCTAGGGGGCATTTTTGTTTTTAAGAACCAGAAAGTTATAGATTACCCCCATGTCATCCTTTACTATATCTCCATTACTATTTATTTCTGTTTAATTACACAAACACTTATTGATCTCCCTACTCTACCCTCATTATTTTTCTTTCACAAACTATGCCAAAGTTCACATATTCAGTTATAAATAATCCTCCAGAACTGTAGATTTAAATAAAGGAATAAAATAGTGTGGTGTGGCTTTAATACTAATAAATCTAGCACAAAAATAATTTCCTTCAAGAATGTCTTTAAGAAGCTTCAAGAAGCATTTAATTACTTTATTATTTCTTTAAATCTCTATAGTTGCCCAAATTTTTAGTTAGAAAGCTGGTAAGAATGCAAATGCAAATGGTGATCTTGGAACCTGGTAATTTCTCTGCAGATCAGGTGAGAGAAATAAATTCAGTCTAAATATGTCTTCAAATGGTCCTCATTCTTAGACTAATGCAAGTTTCAAATGCATGACTTAAAGTCCAAGAATCTTCTTTTATAAGTAAGTGATTAACTGAAAGTAAGGAAGTGGATGGTAAATTATATACCTTTCAGAAAAAACTAAATCAGTAGAGAAAGAAATAAAAATAAAAACCCAAGTTCAAAGTCAATTTACTTGGTAACACCTTTTAAAAATTTTCTAATGATAATGTGAATAAAAGAGGTGACTTGCAGCCCTTTAGCGGGTTATCTCTTTTTCTACAATTTTAGTGCCCCTAAATGGACAAATGAATTCAATTCAATTGCTACATATAGTTTTGGGTACATGGAATATATTATTTGGGAATGTATACTTGGATCACTAGCCAATTGTGTGCATACCTGATGCGCCAGTAATATCCATAGCCTTCAGATTTCTGCACTTGATGACCGTCAATGTCATACGCCCAGCAGTTGGCAAATAACAAAGGGAAAACATGATTTCACCCAGGTCTACACTTTCCTAGAAAGACAATTGGTGAGGTTAGCCATTTCAAACACCGGAGACTGAAAACAAAATATAAGTGAAGATGTTCAATGAAAAATCACTTTAAGAGAATCTTTAAATGTCATTTTAAATTGTTTTATTGAGGATATAAATAACATTGTGAGAAAGCTGTTCCAAGCAGAGAAAGAAAAGAGATTATATCCTGGCAGCTTACCTGACATCTCTACTTGCAGTTCTAACAGGAATCTCAAACTTAATACAGTCAAAACCAGGCTGCTGATTCCACTGATCCCTGCCCCCCATCTTCTGAAACCAACTCCTCTGTCAATCTATCCAAATCAGCAAATGGTATTATAATACATCCAGAGGCTGGGACCAAAAGCCTAGCAGTCACTTTTATTATTATCTTTCTCTCATGCATGCCTACATCCAACCCATGTCTTAGCTACACTCTTTACAAAATTTATCCCAAAGTACTGAGCTTCTTTTCAACTGTATGACTACCATTCCAGCCACTATCACCTCTTACCAGGATTATTTCATTCGTCTCTAAAGTTGATCTTCCATTTCAAGAGTTAATAGTCATACAGCAGCCACAGTAGTTATTTATAAATGCAAATAAAATTATTTCACTCTCCTGCTTAAAACCATCTAAGGGCTCACAAATATGTGATAAAATTCAAATTATTTACTCTGATATGTAAGTGGGATAACTATAAACCCTGGTGTATCTGGGAAATTCCAGGTTTATATATATTTTCTGGTGTAGTTATTAGTAACATCCCCTTTAATTTTTAAATATGTCTTTGTTTAGACAATGGATTACAAGATTGTACATATAAGGCCCCATGTGATCTGGGCTATACCTATCCCTCTAACTCTATCCCTTGCCTCTTCTCTAAGCTCACTCTGATGCACATACAAAGGCCTTCTGTCTGTTATTCAAACAAATGAAGTTTGTTCTGGCATTTTCTTTGCTTCTTTTTTCATGTTAACATGGCTGACTCTCATCACACAGGACTCAGCTCAAATAGCATCTCTCCAGTGATGCCTTTCTCCTTCCTGTCCTGTACTCACCCTACTCACAGATCCTTCACATTTTCCCATAGCAGTTGCCATAATCAGAAATCATCTTTTAAATTCACTTTTTGTTTCCCTGGTTCCCATATATAAGGTCTGGGAGAGCAGGGTTCTTGTGACCTTGTTTTTGCCTCCTGCTGAAGTGGCTGGTGCATAGCTACCTAGCTCTTAGTGTATTTGTTTTGAAGGAATGAAAAGATTATTAATTAACCTGGATAAAAAATGACCCACTTTGCTTTGTTTACAAACTGTCTACAGTGCCCTGATGTAGATATTATTTGCTGTCATTGGTGCATAGATTGTGGACAAATGAAAATGCATGTGAACAATGCATACTTACGAAATAACAAATCAAAAAGTCTTGTATAGGGTTTAATTAAATCATTCCTGGTAAACAATGTGGTAGATTTAATTTGGGGGGAAATAGAGTTGCTATGCAGTCAGGCCAAAGAACTAGGTTCTTAAAAATTCTTCATGACAAGCAATTAACATTTATTGGACATTTTCACAGCTCAGGTTCTGATTTACATATTCCCATTTCTTTATTCATGGTCTAGAAGTAGTAAAGCCTAGTAATTAAGAGCATAAACTTTGAGTCAGTTAAACTTTGGTTTTGACTCCTGTTTTCTGCTTCATAGTTGTGAGATCCTAAAAAATTAATTAAGCTTTGAATCTCTGAAACTTCATTTTTAAACTGAGGAAAATACCCACACCACCGGAGTTTTAATCATTAAATAACAATCATATGATGAAAGAAACTATTCACTGCTATATTGCTATCACACGGAGCAGTGTGCTATACATATCAGGTGCTCAGTGAGTACTGCATAAAAAAATAATTAAGTGAAACAATTATTATTGAGAAAATTAGTAAAAATGAATATTTTATAAGAAAGGGATATCCAACTGGGTCTCCTCTGTGCTGTTCGATTGCTGCAGACCTAAAATAGTGAGCAAGACCCAACAGGAGAGGCCTGATGGAAAACAGGAAGACTACAGCCTCCTGCCAAGTTCAGCCTCTTGCTGAGTCTACTGGTAGGTGCCCAGGATGCCAAGATAGGCATGGCATGATTCTACCCTTGAAGATCTCAGTTGAAAAAGAAGAGTAGTCTGTAAAGGGCTAAGAAAAACTGGATCTGTCTTTTGACTCAGCAATCCACTTCTAGGAATATATCTTATGGAACCAAAAACACTAATTTGAAAGGACATAAGGACCCCTATGTTCATTGCAATATTATTTACCATCTCCAAGATATGGAAGCAGCCCAAATGTCCATCCATAGATGAGGGGATAAAACAACTATGGGATATTTACACAATGGAATACTACTTGGCTGTAAACAAAGAAGAAAATTTTACCTTTTGCGACAGCATGGATGGACCTCGAGAACATTATGCTAAGTGAAAAAATCCAGTCAGAGAAAGACAAATACGATATGATTTTACTCATATGTGGACTAACTGAACTAACTGAACTAACTAACTAAACTGAACTAACAAGCAAAATAGAGATAGGCTCATAGACCGAGAGTAGATGATAGCTAGTGGCGGTCAGGGAGAGGTTAGGGAGGGGATGGATTGAGCAAAAAGGAAAAAGGACTCAAGGACATGGTCAACAGTGTGGTGATTGTGGGGGGGAGGGGAGTATCAGAAGACTAAATGATAATGAAAAATACAATAAATATTATATATTTAAAAAAGAAAATGAGTCTGAATTCTATGTTTATCTGGTGGTTCTCTCCTTGTTTCACTCTCTGTCTCTTTTTTCCACATATTTCTTTAGCTTAGTCAGTGGGCTGAGTGTTCTTTCTGGCAGCCATCCCCGCTTCCCGCACAGGGGAGTTCTTCCAGGAACTATCAATTAGAGTAAGCATATTTTGTTATCAGGAGGTAAAAATTATGAATGCAGAGCAAGATACCAGGTTCCACTGCAAAATATGATGGGCATGCTGATGGAGGAGCTAGGAACAAAATAGGAGACGTGAACTCAGGGATGAGATGCTTGGAGTCAAACGGGAAACACACTGCATGCAAACTGGAAAAAAGTTCCCAAGTGGAGACATCTAAAGGGATTTGTAAATACAACATTTTCATGTGTCTGGCTGACATGGTTTTACTTTTACACATTAAATAATCACTGGGAGTACTTTCTGTACTTCTCTAGATATATTACATGTTTACTAGCTGGAACAAAGATGTTCTCATCATGTTTGGTCCTGTCTCTCAAAGATCCTTTCTATGGCTCCAGGTGCAACATAATTTTGACTATGTGTTATTAACAGGTACTGATAAATAGAAAAAGGTTATAGTGAGGAGATGACCAAAATACTACCCCAAATAAATGGAAAACAAAAAGCTGATTAAAGGTTGTTTTTGAGGAGCTCTATATAACAAGATAGTAGGCTTTTTTGCCTACTGCAGTAGTAAGAAATCTACTTAGATACTTACACTACATATAGTTAACGGTTTTTTAAAAATAGAATAAACTGGGTGATAAAAATTAATTTATAGTATGCATCCATAATAACTGCACAAAAGTTTCATTCTTCATTAGACTGAATTTTTATTTCAGGAAGTATAGATTTAAGAACTAAAACTGCTCATATACCAAAAAGGGCAGAATATTCTCTAAGGTAAATTGCAATATTCTTCAACTTTTAAAATCTGGAAGTGATCTAACAGATAGTCATGAAAGATGAACTTAATGAAGGAAAACAGTGTAGGCCTTAAAAAAGGTCCTACAGCAGATGGAACAGCAGAACTTGAGACTGCGGCTACATTGCCCTGAGCCGCGATGTGCGCTAATTCTCAGCACCCACCACCGAGACTGTCCTGTGTCCGTGGCCCCACTCCAGGGAGCGGGACAAGTTCTAACTGCTGCCTCTTTCTCTGCCTGCTCCAGACCACTGCACTTTAAAAGGCCACACTCAGTCTCAACACTTTGAACTCTCTGGTGCCCAGCAAAGAACTGGGAAATAAGCTGAATGCTCTCTGAACAGCCAGCATAAACATAAAGATATGCAGTAAAATCCCCTTATTTCATGAGACTAGATCATTACTCAACACCCATTTACTATTATTACTTTAGACAAAATTCTAAGAAGAACGCTTACTTAGTATATCAAATGACATGAGGTGAAAACCCCCGTGCTATGTGGAGGCGGGAAAACTGATGGCAGTAGCTCAGGTGAGGGCAGAAAGGAATGATAGCTGCAGACGCCATACATACAAAAGAAAAGCTAGTATTCTAAAAGGAGAGCAATCTAGATCATTTCGTATCAAGGGGAACACTAATGCCTTGGCAACTTAAAAATGATAGTTTGTTACAGACTTAAAAAGTAAATAATATCAAAATGATGACTCTGTGTCATCAAGCTAAGTGAAAATATCCTATAGGTTCTGTTTAAGAATGTAGAGACATGTACACTATTTTTTTAGAGTTATTTTTATGCAAAATCCTTAAAATATTTGAAGTGGTAATTTTGGCCTAAAATGAGAAAGGCTTTGATTTTGAGTTTCTGAAGATTTTATTTATGGGTGATCTCATTTACTGCAATTCTCTATAAATATGAAAGTCCCAAATTAACCTTTAAAACACTGGTATCTTTGGGCAAATAGTCATTTGAAAGCTGGCAATAAGGTCTAGGATTTGGTATTCCATGACATTTCTTTCAGGTAAGAAGACCTTCATTTCATTCTCATCCGCACTAGTGTATTTGGTTGAGCACTCGCAGTGAGAGTCCTCTGGCTGGGGCCGGACTGTACCTTTGATGTCTTCCTCCCGGCTCTGCAGACAGAGCTGGGTGTCCTTATCTGATGGTTGGCTATAGTCAATCTGGCCAACATAGTCACAGTTATACATTTTTATTAATGTATTGTCTCTCCAAAATAAAAGTAAAGGCCACTGAAAAGATACATTGATACACAAATAGTTG